ATATTATATCATATTATATTATGTTATATTATATTTTCCATCTTATAGTGTATGATGTGACATTACATTACATTACGTTATAATATGTTATATTACACTACATTACATTGCAATGTACTTGTTATAGCATAACATACTATGTTATATTATACTAAATGGTAACGTGAAATATATAATGTATAAACTTACAATACATACTCTCGCCGGCCTTGAGGCCATGGTAGGTTCTTGTCCAGAAGGCCCCATCTTCGTTGAAGACCTGGAATGAGGCAAGGCCTAACCGGAGGCCAAACCCAGTTTAGGGTTTAGGGTTTAGGGTTCAGATCCCTAAACACCAAAACCCTTGACCAACCCTGATACCCCAAACCTGCGCACCCAGCACAGCAAGAACATGTAAATCCATCAGTCATTAGGGTTTAGGAGTTAGGGGTTAGGAAATCATGATCACAAACCTTGCGTCCTATCAGCCATCAACAGCCCTTGGCTGAGGCCGCCAGCTGCATTGCGATCCTTCTGCGTCCACCCCCTCTTGGCTCGGACGGTGACGCAGGCGACCTCGGCGGGTCCAGAGACAACTGCCTGGTGCTTAGTAGGGAATGGGGGAATGGGCTTCAGGGACTACTATAAGGGACCTTAAGGGACCATCATAGGAATCCATTCCCCCATTCCCTCCTTAGCACCAGACAGACAAGATAAGCTGGAGGGTGCTTCAGGTTGCTACTCTACGGGCTCACCCACTGGAGCCCAAGTCAAAAGGCTGTTTCGTGACAGGCTTGCCGGCTGAGGTTTCAGTCGACCTGACAACACCATGCTTGCTTGGAGGATCATGGGACTTAATAAGTAAGGTTATAAGTACCCTAATTGGGGTTATAATTATAGTTATCCTATTTATAACCCTAGTTACTAAGTCCCATGATCCTCCAAGTGGCAGTCTCTGAGGGCGCTGACTTGTGAATTGGGAGTATTTGGCACCCAAAGCCTGGGGGAATCCTTCTCCATGCGGCAGTACCCCTGGCCGGGCGAGGACTGAAAGCTGACGGTAGAAAGCGGAGGTCTCGTCATCCTGTCGTCTTGTTCTCTTTCTTGGTGAAGTATCACCATTATCATTGTGCTGTAGTCATTTTTCGCACACATGGCTGGTATTACAACGAATGGTACTTCAATGTACGATGCTGTTTGTTGCGATCGAAACTGTCAGCCGTAGCACACTGATTCTGGCTACTAGTCGCATCCTTCGAGCCGCCATCGTCATCAAGGACTATTGTAATTACGTAAGCTGCTCCGGTGTTAGCTTCATCATGACCTTGTCATGGTGCTGTTGCAGCTGCTGCTGCTGCTGCTGCTGCTGATGTTGACCACTACTTCCAACCAGTCTTTCAACGCGCTGTGACTATCTGTCTTGGGACAAGCTGCAAAACCTTACCAGCCTTGTTGGTGTAGGAGATCTTGATGGTGATGTCTGCACCAGTTAACCGCAGCCTTGGAGTCAGCTACGGAGACTATCAAGCCTTCCGGGTCTAAATATAGCCGTCATCATCAGCTTCATCACCAGTACCGTAATCGTCCTCTTCGTCCTCACTGTCATCGTGAGCTTCACCATCATTAGTCATCAACATCACCACTAGCACGCTCATCATCATCGGCAGCTGCAGCAGTAAAGCAACGAGTCAGGCAAGAAAAGGCAATCACAGCTGGCAATCACTGATGTGCCACAATGTAGAACTGGAGCTTTCACGGTCTCGAGTGGTATCCTCTTCACCCCACCTGCCTACAGGAGCACATTGCTGCTGATGGCATGAACTGCTCACAGATATCCCGGGGAAGCTTCAAAACATCGATCTCCAGAACGCGGCTAATCTTCACGATGTCCGCTGCAGTCAAGCTGCGGTGGCCCCTGCGGGCCGTTCGCCGAATCCTCGCGCATCACTCCTGGAGTTGCTGCGCGACAGTGGGAATGCAGATCGTGCTTTAAGATAAGACAATATTGTTTTACATTGTTTTATACTCTACCATACTATATTATCCTATAATAAACTATATCATGTATAAGCCCTAAACCCTAAACCCTGAGCCGTGGTTGCCCTGTGCAGACCCACGGTTGGTTCACTGAGCCATCCTGTCAGAATACCCACATGGTACAATAGGAGCCAGCCCCAAGGCTAACTCTCGCAACTTCGTGTCAACTCATGCTGCTTGGATTGAGGGGCTGTTGGGTCGCGGTGGCTTCGTCCAAGAGGCTTCTGGGCGGTTTTAAGGGGTGTAAATACAAGCTACGTAGGGTTCAGGGCATTAGAGCTTTTGCTTTTGCGGTCAGGGATGGGTTTTTCAAAAAGACGGTATTGAGGTTCAGGACTTTATCCTTCTTGCTTGCGGGTTCCATCTGGCAGACACGGTGAGCCTGAACACGTCACCCCGATATCTCATGAAACCTTGGAGTCCTGTAGGGGTGCTGGGAGCTGGGGGACATAGCGAGTAGGTTTATGAGGCTGGGGGATTTATATATCCTACAACTACTTGAGTTTTTGGGAAGGTGCTTTCTTGGGATGTCGAGGATGTAGGACATCGTGAAGAGAGGGTAGCATACTGTTCAGTTTGAAGATGAGCCACTAAACTGTCACCAAACTCTAAACTCTAATAAGCCCTAAGTCCTAAGCTGTGAAACCCCAAACCTCTAAACGAAGATGCTGCTGGGCGTCTCTCTTCGAAGTTGTAGTAGCGGCCATCCAGCAGTAGCCTGTCGGGATGTAAGTGGGCCTGAAAAGCTACAACCAAAGCCGACGGCAAAACGACATTCGTCAATAGGGTCTATGTACGGGTCCAAAAGGATTCCTGTAAGGATTGTATGAGGACACATTACAAGAGTCTACTGTAGGGCCTAAATGCCAGAAGTGCCTTGGGGTGTGTTACAGTCTTTTCATATTCACGAACCGTCAGGAGTTGTTAACTCGTATATTACCCTCTTCACCATGCGCACGGGCGCAGTTCCGGATGAAGATCCTCTCTAGAGGTCCTAGTTCTGATGGTCTGCGGTTGAAACCAGTAGCCTCAAGCGAATCTGTCGCAGGTTACAAGCCGCTGCTATTTGAGCAGTGCCCTTCTAGCCCCGAAGCAGGACCTGGAGTCGTCATCTCCAAACTCTTCTGCCTTGCCGGCCATGAGCACCTGGCACCGGCCATGAGCACTTCGACTCTGCTTCCCCGAAGGACCACGTTCAGCGTTTAGGGGTTAGGGTTTAGGGGTTTAGGGGTTTAGGGGTTTAGGGGTTTAGGGGTTTAGGGTTTAGGGGTTTAAGGTTTAGGGTGATGTCAATGACGAGAACAATGGGATGCACTCAAAAAAACACACTGGGACAAACAACAAGAGAGAAAGAACAATAAACAACTCGTCATGAAACAGAACCATGGCAAGAGTGGTCATGCCAGTTTTTCACCATCATTGCCAGGGAAGAACCATGGCAGCACTATTTAAGGAGGGGTTTGCCATGTTGGGTACGTGTACCGGGCATGGCTGTGGGGTGCGTGCACCGTACCCGTCCCACCGGCACCATCTGCCTTCACCCTTGTACCGCACCCCTTGTACCGTACCGCCGCGCCGATTCGTACTCATCGCAACAGGAAATATCCATACTCTCACGCAAGCCTTCAATAGGAATGATCATTTCATGAATGCTTTTCGATGTGTCCAGCCGAGCCCCACTAGGGTTCCACGCTTCCATCCTCATCATTTCGAGTTTTTTGGTCTTGCGCAAGGCTTCACAAAAGAGTGTTCAATCGGGATGCATACGACGAGCGCGACCGAAAACGAACTTCCCATGCCTCGACCCTGCATTTCCAGTAGTCCACCCTGAACCCTAAAGCCCTAAATCCTCAACACGCAGCCCTAAGCCCCTGTTTCCTGAGTTTCCTGGGTCCTTACTTGGAGGGTCGGAGACTTAGTAAGTAGGTAATAAGTAGACTTATAAGTACCCTAAAAGGGACCCTAATTGGGGTTATGGCACTTATAAGTCTATAAAATAACCATTTACAGAGTCCCCCGACCCTGACGGTAACTCCTATAACCCTAACCCTAAACCCTACAGCCCTAAATCCTCAACATGCAGCCCTATTCCTGAGTTTCCTGGGTCCTTAACTCCTATACCCCTCAGGATTCAGCTTCTACTCTTCCTTGTGTTGCCTACTCCCGGGTCCCTAAACCCTAAACCTTAAACCCTAAACCCTAACCGTTTTCGGCCTCGGCGACCGTGAGGCTGATCAACTCACCGGGCTCGAAGCGACGGAGGATAGAGCCGGAGTGGTTCATGACCACCTAGGGTTTAGGGTTTAGGGTTTAGGCAGGAAAAATACTCTGAGATGAGCACAAGAGAATGGAATAGAGTATACTCCGGTATATTCGCGGGTTTAGGGTTTCGATTCTTTGGTTCAAGAGTGGGGCCCTCCCGAAACTTCAGGCTTTGAGCAGGGTTCCGTATCAAGCTCACCAAAACCGCAGCTGAAGCCTCTAAGTGAGTGTTTCGGACCACCTCGGTGACTACTTGGGAGAAGGGTTCGAACCGGGCATACGCCGAAAGCGTGCTAAAATGTCGGACCACTGTGTTTGTGCAGTTTAGGGATCTGGGACCACGTCGGTCTTCCCTGGATGTAGGGCTTCGGGCGAGAATTGATAATTATGGTACACCGTGCATCGCCAGGATGAAAGACTTTTGCCAGAGAGGCACCGTAAACCCGTCTGGATGAGTCTTCCGAAAGGCGTCGCAAAACACTGAGATCGTGGCAGTCGTTACGGGGGCACCTGAAGTTGTAGCGCCGTCGCTGCTGCCAACCAGCGTCTCCCTGTGCGGTTTCAATGGCTTCCATGCGGCAGCAATGAGTACTAGATCTTCGGAGATGCTGCAGGAAAGCAGGACAGTGTTGAACTGTTAGTCATGCTGCCAGCGGTCGAACGCTTCGCCAGTTTGACGTGCTTCACGATAGGCGAAGAGCCGTCACTGGAGTCACGTGTTTAGTATTGTTAGGTCGTATCCCAGAGCGCGACCGAGGGCAGGATTGCTTCTGCATTCTCGAGCCGTGTCTTGCTGAAGACCATGAGGTCATTCATACCGTCACGCCGGTGAAAGACTGGCTGCTTGCCGCGGGTTGTTGCTTACGTTTCACTTCCTGCTCCAACCTCTCGGATGTTGCATGCTTACTCAAGCGATCAAGATTGCAATACCTTCCTACTCATGTAGATTCCCTGAAGATCACCCACAAAACAAACCCCGATTCGTTTTTGAGCTCAGTCCCTGACATGTACTGCTGGACTCAATAGCTGTCTCGACCGCGACCCATGGCCAATTCTGAAGCCCCACGTACGAAAGTGATATCTTGCAAAACATTGGGGAGACGCACTAATATAATGTAGAACAATGCTATATTCTAACATAGCATAATACAGTACATCGTATCTTTTCTATGTCAGCTAGATAGTGGCGGAGGAGCCTAGGCCCTGCGATGAGGTCATCTGGGCGGACCGCATAGTAGTTGTGACCTGGCCGTGGGTTATCCAGCAGCTCACGGCTTTTGTGGTTCTCATCAGCCCTAAACCCCAAAACCCAAAAGTCTTATTACTAGTATTGTGCCATGTCACACTCAAACTTCTTTTGCTAGTGCGAGCTGGGGCAGTTGCTGGGGCTTCGAGTCCTAGGAGCTCCTTTCCGTGGCCGCAGACCAGTGATTCTGACTTGCCGGCAGCACTGAAGGTCAGCTTCATGCTCTCGATGCCAGGAACGTAGTAGTAACTGGTCATCCAAGCAAAGCAAAGGTTGGCTTGCAAGTTCGACTGACCCAAACACCTGCCTGGGATCTGCAACGTCGTGCAAGTTGTGCATCATGAGGTCCTACTCCCATGACAGCTGGAGGCCCACATACGAAGACAACCCGGAAGCTTCACGTCAACTCTAACTCTTTCACTCGTGAGATCCTTAGGATTGGGCAAGCAAGAGAGAGAGAGAGAGAGAGATGAACAAAATACATCTGCTTGTGCTGAACAGCACCCCGCAGCCCGTCCGAGAAGAACGTAGGGATGAATGTTCCAGATGGTGAGTCCCTCAGCTAAACGTGTGCCATATGTCACACACAGCAAAGTGTCCATTTACAGCGCGTCCAATGCTGTGCTGCTGACATACTCATCTCTGCCTCGTTCATGCAGGCCTTGTCCATTCCACCTGAGTGCCGGCATGGGATAGAAGCCCTGCTGGCATCCTGGCCCTGACGAAGCCGAGTGGTGAGCTGGCTTCGTGGCACAGGTGCGTGCAGTGAATGTCAGTGTAGTTGAAGCCTTCCGCGGCCAAGCAAGAGCTCGTGAGAAGTACGATCCCGAACGACATGCACACAGGTGCACAGTGCCCGGCTTTGCCCTCCGTCATGGAAGGTGTAGCCAAACCTGAGCAGCTCCGGCATAGAGAAGGGAGGAGGATGCATCTCAGCATAGCTTGTTCCCTGCTCAAAGTCAACCGGAATGCTAAAGACGATTCTTGCACCCATTGCTCTGGTGGGTTCTCCGAACAAGGTTCGCTAGAGTGTACTAGCATTATAAGGATGATATTGTTCTCGGCCCCTTCAATCAGGGTCATGATTCTTGTTCTCATAACAACTTTTTTTTGCGGCATAAGTATTTCTGCATACATATAGATTATGTATACATACAAACCTCTCTCTCTCTCTAAAAAATATATATATATACACATACACAGTGTACACGCATGTATAGTGATGCTGACGACACCGACAGTGGTTATGATGGTACTGTCGAAGATGAGGATGCTAGTGATACGTTCCTTGTTGAATCCTCTTGAAGAGCTTCTTACCATGACTCCATGACTGTTCAAACCAAATCCGAGCTGTACAGGTCTTTTCCTAAATCTGCACATTTGAACCAAATCCGGAATCCTTTACACCCTCAAACTCCATTAATCAGAAACCTGGAAACCCCATAAACACCGCCAAAACCCAAAGCCCCCAACCACGAACCCCAACAAGCCACAAAAGTCTGAACTCCCCGAAACACCAGAACCGAAACCAGGAATCTCACCCTGAGGGCTGCGTGCAGAAGGGTTTGCTCCTGCGAGCTTGCTTAGGAGGCATTGGGATTGGGGGTGTAGGAATTTCTCTTCTGTAAGTTTTAGATGGAAGTGAAACTCGAGCTCTACGGTTTGGAGACCTAGATACTCGATGCTTTGATCCGGCAGAGAGCACTACCGAGACAGATGAGACCGTGCTTGGAGGAGGGATGTGCTACCGCTATGTGGTTTAATTGTGTAATAAAGTCACTGCATGTAAGGCAATTCTCGACGGCTCCCGCAACCCTACAACAATAAACACCAGTGCCAAAAAGCCCGCGAACCCTACAGTTGACAAATGCTAGACCTCCTGCCCAATACATCTCATCTGAAACAACAAGTTTTCATTTCCCGTACGTGTGAACCCAACTGTACACTCCAGAAGACCTATGGGTATTATGTACCGTAGAACATTCTTACTGCAAAGCTGCCAGGCTCCTGTCTGCATCCATGGCCACAGAGGCTTCTGTTGCGGATAGACCGGATGCAAACCTGGTTTCGACATTGCTTCTCATTGAATTGCAAGTTCATGGACTGTTCGGATCACGAACACTGTTTTGATTTATGCCACTGCACTGCAGCAACTGCGACTGCCCCGCAGCACGACTCCTGGTACATCCACCACCACCCATACCAGTTCTGGTAACATCTTAGCTATCGCTCTTCCTAGTAGGGAAACATCGGCTGTATTCCATGCTGCCCAGTGGTCAGCGCAGCGAACACTATGCTGAGCGCGAAGAGAAGGACTCTGAGTCATAATCCCCCGTCACCCGTCTTGGAGGCCGTAACAGTATGGGATCCCTTTCGTAACCCTGAAAAGGCTGTCATCAACGCTGGCCTACAGAACCAATCTGCCAGCTGGTAGCTGCATTAGCACCGACAAAACAAGCCAGCGGGTCGGCAGCATTGTTGCAACTCCCTTGACCTCGCAGGAATTTGCCGCCGTGGCTTCAAATCGCAAGGGCAAATCGGTACGATGACGATTATTTGTAGCAAGGAACATGATCATGCTACTAGTGATCACTTCGATACCAGCGCAGAAGTCGCTGTCATCGAAGCTCGAAAGCTGGAATACGCACTCAGCCCCAGACCGGGGACTGGATGGCATACTGCTCCAGCTCCACAAATCGCCAGAGAAACACTAGCCAGGTAAAGAGCACTAGAAACCAGTACCTGGCAGCACCGCGGAGACGAACTTCCGAAAATCAAGAACTCTGCAATCATCTTGACGCGTTGGTTCCACGAGGCAGCGCACAGGAGGAAGAGGCCTGGGTTGTGGATGACCTCGCCGGAGCTTCGAGGAAATCCAAAACACCCTGTGCTCTGCGAATGGGCCTGTATGCCAAGGTGCTCTGAATGATGTCAGAAAGCTCTGGTACATCACCTACAAACTAGACCCTTATTTCAAGCTATCACATCTGTCTGGATGCGGATGCGTGCGGAACATTGCGGAACATTCTTTCGTTAAGGACCCCTGAAAAGATCCCAGAACTGAAAAAAAAGACTTCCTAAGCTCCTGTTGGCGGCATAGGGTTTGGGGAAGCCTGGAACTCCCCCCAAAGCCTCAAGCAACGATGTACACGTTTCACTTCGGATCCTTCTTCCGCCACGAACCTACAATCTTCAAGCTTCTGAGAGCGAGGCAACCCATTTCGGCAGGTAAACTATACCCAACCTGCCGGAGTTCAGTTCAGCTTCCAGAAGACACGTCGTTGCAAGGAGTAGTCGTCGTCGTCTCCTCCTCCTCCTCCTTACCATCACCACCACCAGCCCCGGCCCTGCTACTGCTGCACCCCCATCTCCTACTACTCCTACTCCTCCTACTGCTGCTACTGCCAGAGCCACTGCCACTGCCACCGCCACTGTTCCTGCTGCCGCTACCGCTACTGCCACTGCTCCTATTTGTCTGGTGCTCCTGCTTCTGCTCCTACTCTGACTCCTACTACTACTACTACTACTAC